CGAAAGAAAATTGCAATGTACTGTACAACTGATTTTATCAAGATTAAAAATGGTTTATGAACAATAGTAAATTGTCACTCACATCGATGAGAATATCTCATGCGCGTCGCTTTCACTTCTCCAGGCTTGTGCGTGTAATTGCGGTGTCATTTTGCTTCTAAGGGCTTAAGAGTCTTTTGAACTCATCATGACTTCATGGCACAATGGCATCTGAAAGGCATGAATGTAAAACCGCTTCTCTCAGGACAAATCACATGTTCATGACAATTGAAAGGAATACTGTTATCCATGAGTATATTAAATTTTTTCCGTGACATTAGCTAACAGCAATAATGTGAAGCCTCATATTCGGTGGATACGTTAAGATTTTCTGAAAGAAAAGTTTTACGTGAAAAGACATAAAACAGTTGTTCTGAATGGCCCAATCCGTTGGCAATAGATGAACAGTGTAAAATTTCTTCAGCTTCGCGATGAATGAGGGCACAACTGCTTCCTCCGAGTGGGTCAGTGAGTCACGGTTCCGTCGCAGCAATGGTAACTGGACAGCACCTAAGTGATCGTTTGGAAATGAGGCACACAGGGGCTCGAACCCAGTCATTAAATTGGTTCAAACGGTGAGGTGGCCGCGGCGTGACTCCTTCGTAATTTCCAAAGCCGACAGAGATCATAAACACCAGGTGGTTAGTAGTAAACAAACGACTAACATCCCTCTGGTCTTTGGTTTGACGCCTGCGGATGTCGTCCGAGGAGGTTTTGAGTCGAGCTCGGTTCCGTCGCTTAATTTTACGATTATAGCGGGTGTGGTCGTAATTTGTCACCACCAATGTCAACCGTATGCTGTTGTCTCGGCTCACTGCCAAGTGCCGAAGTTGAAGGTTGTTCGGCGTACCGTACGAATACATTGAAATTTAGGTACATGAAATATCTGTATCCGTATGAATGCGAGAAAAAGAAGCTGAGTTCCCCGTCAGAGCTGCAAGCGGCTATTGACGGCAACAGGAGAGAAGGCCGCAGGAATAGCTTCAATCCATATTCACAGATGTCGCCTACCCTGCTCAGTCGTCACATCAACGGCACCATAGGTAAAGCGTACCTTTGCCCATGATTCGCTTGCAACCGATGCGACTTGTACATATTGACATTGTATAGATGAAGAAGGACTAACTCCCAGTGTCACCTCATGTTCGTTAAGCCATCACTCAGCCCTCGCTTCCGCTTTCAGAGAACAGGCGCTCGTGTTCGAGTCTGCCCAGAGACAGATGAACAGATCTCCCAGGTACAGTTAGCAAGAGAGGCCGTGATTTTGATCGTTCTGCTGACACACGCGCTCTTCCTGTTGTAGGATGGTCTCCGACGCCCATCGCTTCAACGGTTCAGGTCGCAACAGTACGAGCAGCAACGACTC